TAGTAGACAAATAATATAATTTATTGGTTCATATTGTCGATCTTTCTTTATTATTTTTTATTTTTTCTCCACAACCTTCTCTAAAGATTAATAAAAAAATTATAATTTATAAACGAAGGAGATGGTCCGGGGTTGCGGTCATAAATAGGCTAAATAGTGGTAAAACTATTTTATTGAAAGCCGACGTTTCAACCCGCCTTTGGTCTTCTTCAGGGAGGTATGTTCAGCTAGGATTTTCATTTAGAACTTATCACTATTTAGCCTATTTATGACCGCAACCCTGAACCATCTCCTTCTTTTATAATGCAACGGTAAATTATTGAATATTCAATAATTTATAAACATTTTTATTTTCATATATACGTTAAGGGATGCTGAAGAAGGATACAAAGCAACTCCGAAATGTACAAATAAAAAAAATACTATAAATTTTAATTTAATTTTTTTATTATTTATTTTTTTAATTTGATCTATAGAAAAGGTAGTGGAGAAGAAATAAAAAATAATGAAGAAAAGTCAACAATAGGAACTAATAAATTATATTGTTTGTCTATAATTGTACCATAAAATAGTATTTTTTTTTTTATCCTAATATCTACTCTGATTTTATACTAATATCTGATCAGTCTACTAATTACCCATCTCTACAATAGTTTACAAATAAAAGATATTCAATTTATTGGTAAAAAATGCACAGGAAAAAATTCTATACTCTTTACTGATGGAGGTTAGTCGACTGTTCTACATATCATAAGTGATAAATATATAGGACGCAGTCATTATAAAGTTTTTATTGGTGTCGACGTTTCAACCCAAACATGTGGGTCATCATCAGTAGTGCAGTACTTGAATACCTTCAGTGCTTGAACCACACCCTGATGATGACCCACATGTTTGGGTTGAAACATCGGCACCAATAAAAACTTTATAATGACTGCGTCCTGAATATTTATACTCTTTACAGTATAATAAAATATAGACGATTTTTCAGCAGAATATGTTTTGTTCTCTTATGAAAATTTTATTATATATTTTAACTCTTTTTACTCTATAATAGTTTTTTAAAGATAATAAATATATATCTTTTTTTTTGTAAATGAATCCTTTGTGGAAAAAAAAAATATAGTTGATTACAATTTATTGAATTAAAGAAGAAAAAAAAATTAGTATATGAAGACAGTATAATTATTGATTGATAAATTACATAAAAATATTTTTATTTTATTTTTGGAATAGTTTTACGCGAAGAATTTTAGTTTTTTATCATTTGTGAAATTAGCAGAAATTTAAATTGAAAATCAACTTTAGGCATTTTAAAAGTTTTAAAGTGAAAATTAGTTATATTAACTATAATTCATATAACAATTAATCAACAACTTAATTATAAATATGAAAATACTAAAAACTAATGAAGATCAGATAATTCAAAGAGGGTCACAAATTATGCCATAAATGTCCAAATAAAAATGATTAACAAAGTATTATAAATTATGAAGATAAGGATAGTTGTGGTTATCAATCAAAATAAAAATGGCAAAAATAAATAATAATATTTATTCTAACATTTGGCGACGTTTCGACCCGAAGTTCAGACCTTCATCAGCGCTGATCGCTATTGATCGAAGAGATTGCTATTGATAGAATGCGAATTGATAGAACGCCATTCTATCATTAGCAATCTGTAGCAAATGTTAAAATAAATATTATTATTTATTTTTGCCATTTTTATTTTGACTGATCACCACAACTATCCTTATCTTCATTATTCATTATTATTATTACAGTCAACCATCGACCTACTATTATAAATTATAAACGTTTATTTTGTTATACTATCAGACCAATGGGCTTAGAGCGATGAAGAAATAAAAATTATTATAATATAAAATAAGGCTGTGTTTTTTTATTTCAACACATTTATTCCACTTTTACCTCTACATCGGCTACATTTCAGCTAGTAAGCCATTTTATTTAATCATGCTTATTCTTTATAAATTTAAAATAAGCATGATTAAATAAAATGGCTTACTAGCTGAAACATAGCCGATGTAGAGGCAAAAATGGAATAAATGTGGTGAAGTAAAAAAAATAGCCTTATTTTATATTATTATAAATATTTCACCTAAAACAAATAAGTGCACAAAGAATTATTACTTTTAAATCTTATTTACTTTCACAAGGAACTATTTGAAACTCTTTTATTTAAAATTAGTTGATTACATTTTTGTTCAGAAAACCAGCTGTCGTTTCAGGCTCTTTTGCCCATTTTCAAGTCCAAAATAGATAACTTATGGTCATATATTAAATTTAAATAAAACAAATTGTAATTTATTTTCGTCAGTATATTATTGGTTCTCCTTCATCTAACTCTAACGAACCAATGTCTAAATTGCCTGTTTGTGTCAACATTTGGACATTGATTTGTTATCGATAGAAGATCAAAGAACAATTGTATAAGAAAAGAAATATAATAAAAAAGAATAATCACACGGAATAATATAAAACCAATAATCTATTGACAAAAAGCAATTACATTTTATTGAATTTAAATTGTATTTTGGATTTCAAAATAAGAAAAAAGATCATGAAATGTCAGATGATTTTGTGAAGAAAAAATTAATAAATTAATCATTACATAAATAGACAAAGTCATAACAGTTGAGTAGATTTTTCTCCCTTGTTTCTCAACCAATTTTCTTTTTTTGTTTAGTAGCTAATGACGAGCTTTTGTCTAATCAATAAAAAGATTTGGAAACAGTGTATATAAATAAAAATGTATGTTAGTTTGTTAAAAATCACTAATCTCAGGAAGTTCTTCACCAATATTTTTTAAATTTTAATACAATGTTTAAACTAATTTTTTTTTAATATACATTTCATTACCATCTGGCCTTTTGTTTCAAAATGGAAAAGAAAAACATATGTTGCTGTAGATAACAGCGCCAAAATTGCTATAGTGATTTTAATTAAATGTGACCAAATTTTTCTTCTTTAGGCTCTTTTTATTTATGTATTCAGTGTAATTCCCTGAAAAGAGGTTTTTAATCAAAATTACTAAATCAGGATTTTTATCAATGAGTCTCTATAATTATATTATTTTATTTCCAGTATGACTTTCTGTGCATCATGTTTATGTGTATGACTTTTTCTGTTACTTTTTCTATTTAAAGAAAAAACATGAAAGATAAGAACAGTGTTTTTGTTCTTCGCCTCATACTAAATTTCTCTGAAAACAGGATTTTTCTTTGTTCGACAGCTGTCAGTACGATGGCGTCAGACAAAGAAGAGTCTTGTTCTGTGGGAAATATAATAAATGAAACGAAGAATAAAAATACTGTTGTAATCTTTAATTTTTTTTTAATCGAAAAAAGTTATAGAGATATAATATGGTGCACGGACACTGAAAGCTACTCAGGAAATGAAATAATATAAATTATAGAGGCAGTCATTGCTAAAAATTCTAATCTTCTAAAAATATAAAACAGTCTAAAGTTACTTAATAATCCTATAATATTATTTCTAAAAGGTGTTTTTTTGTCGCAACACCATAACTTTGTCAATTCTTTATCAAATCCAATGATCGAGCCCTCATTTTTTTTCTCGATTGTACCCTTGACAATTAGAAAGATTACTAAATTACCTACAAAACAAAAAAAAATTTAAAAATCGGACAATTATTAACAAAGATACAGCCCATTAGTTTTGGTATACTTAATAATTTCTTACTATTTAAAGATACTACATTTACTACTCGACTACCCTTTTTTTCCTGGCTGATATATACTTTATTATTTCTTAAAAGCATTTTTTTTTTTTATTTTATAATTTTTAATAATTTAGAAAATCCTATGATCGAGGCTTTATTTTGATTGTTACCTTTCCAGTCAGCGTTTCAAAATAGGCCCTAGCAAAGCAATTTGTTCAAATATTTTGGTATATTATGTTAAATAGAATATTGTAATCAACCAAGTAAAAACAAATTATCCTCCCATCTACTTATTTTCATATTGTTTTGCTATTCCTTTAATAAACAAAATTTTCTGTGAATTATTCGCACGGGCCAATCACGGTCTAGTCAAAATTAATAAGTAAGAGGAAATAATCAATTATGATTATTATTCAATTTTGGTCACTGGGCAACACTAGTTTTAGTTAAACAAATTGAAATAGTTCCTTAAAGAAGCAAATAAGATTTAAAATTAATACACCTGTTTTTAATACTTTAATATTGAAAAGCAATATTAGGAAATTTATAAGAACTATTATAGTCAATGGTACAGACCCCTTTTTATGAAATTATTAACCTGAAACTTTGTAATTCGTAGATTCATCTCTTCAAAATCTACAAATATTTATTTATGAAAATTCTCGGAATTCGGCCTGTTCAATCTGGAGATCGGCAAACTTTGTCTATTTAATTATGTACTGAAAACTCATGAATACCTGTTTATTTTTCACTTTAATTGTAAGATAAAGTCGAAACAAAAAGTAATCTAAAAATATTGATCCGTTTGATTTGACCTCCACCCCTGAACGAGGTTATACAGGCCAAATGGTCCAATATTTTTGTAGGCTACTTTTTTTTTTTTTTTTTTTGGATTATGTGATTATATCACCTTACGATTCAAGTAGAAAGCAGATCGGTATTCATGAGTTTTACCACCTAATTAAATAGACAAAGTTTGCCGATCTCTAGGTTAAAAATGTCCTAATTCTGAGAATTTTCGTAAATAAAATATTTGTGGGTTGCTATGAGATGAAGCTATTTATGAAGTTTTAGGTGGATGTTAATAACTTAATAAAAAGGGGTCTGTACCACGGCTTATTCCTGTAATTTTAGGAGTTCATCACAACTATTTTCTTCCAAACGATTCTGATAAAATATTGTAGAACATTTATTATGGTGTTGGGCTGAGTTTTTTTTCTGTAGATGACAATTTTTAAGGCTGATTAGTTAGTGATTGCAATGTTTTTGTATAACGATGGCTTATTGGTACCAGGCTTTGGATATGGTAAAGCAGGCTAAAGTCGCTCAGATCCTAGGGAGCGGCGGCAACGAGAGGAGGCGTGGACCTCGTGTCGGCTCCCTCGAATCCATGCATTACGAATCCACGGATGAGGTAAGCTATGCTTAAAAATATCTGGCTTTTGTATTATAATTTTATTACTATTTATGGATTGCCTGTAAAATATATATATATTACTGCTTATATATCATTTATATATGGGTGGTTGAGTGTTTTTTTTATATATATTGTTAATTGCTTTGGTTACACTTTATTATTGATACCTGCCTGTTTTTTTCTGTAACATTTATTAATTTCACTATCATCAATGTAAATACATTCGTAAAAACATTTTTTTTTTCCTCCAACTATTCGGAAGTATATTTGAATATTCTTGGATATTATATAATTGTAGTGAAAAAATTTACTTTATTTCATATAATTTCATTTTATTATTGAAACATTTTACACAGAGACATTTCGGTGATCTCTTCTATCATCAGGGTTCCATTCTAAGAAAACAATATAGCAAATTAATCATAATTAATAAATTGATATAAATTTTAAGTTTTCATTACAGTAAACTTAAAAAGGATGCATTAAATATAAAATGAAAATAATAATTTCATCCTAACATAAGATAAAACTTTTTTCTTCATAATTTAATTAATGAAATACCATAAATTATTAAGGAAATAACTAAATATGTGAGTGGGAGACAAAATAAAAATAATCAAAATAGTAGAATTATACAAGCTAATTTTTTTGTAGCATTCTGTAACTGAGATAATTATTCAATTCACTTTTACAATAGGATAATTTTTATATATACATATAAAAAAAAATATATTTCATTTATTAAGCATGACTAAATGTTTATATATATTTTTTAGTAATGGGATGAATCAAAAATATTGGAAAGTATAATAACAGCTTTATTTCTAATAAATTTATATATATATATATATATATATGTGTGTGTATTTTATTATTTACTTTTCTTTTCTAAAATTTATGATTTCGTTGACTCCCCTCAGACAGTTAAAACCATGAGGTATATCTTTAGCTTTTGTTTGATATACACTTGTACATATATATATATATGTATATATATATATATATATATATATATATATATATATATATATATATATATATATATATATATGTACAAAACCTAAAGATATATGTACTAAAAGCTAATGATATATATATGTACAAGGGTATATCAAACAAAAGCTAAAGACATACCTCATGGTTTTAACTGTCTGAGGGGAGTCTAAGAAATCATAAATTTTAGACAAGAAAAATAAATAATAAAATAAATAAATTACATCTTCTTATAAATAATAAGTAGGTATTAACATTTGAAAACATCTTGGTACCAAGCAAACTAAAACAGTTATTAAGGAAGGAGATGGTCCGGGTGGCGGTCATAAATATGCTAAATAGTGGCAAAACTATGTTATTAAAAGTTAACATTTCGACCCGACTTTGTAGGTCTTCTTCAGAGAGGTTTGTTCAGCTAGGAGTTTCACTTAGAACACGTCCCTGAAGAAGACCTGCAAAGTCGAGTCGAAACGTTCACTTTTAATAAAATAGTTTTGCCACTATTTAACCTATTTATGACCGCCACCTCGGACCATCTCCTTTCTTTATAATGCAACAGTCAACGATTAAATATTCAATAAAACAGTTATTCTATACAATTTTAATGTAATTGTTAATAATTAAATTTAAACGTTTAAAAAAAATATAATGTAAATGGCAATTTTATTATTTATATTTATTGATAATGATCAATTTTTTATATTATTGTATTGCTTTCTTAGAATAGAATACTGATGATGAATATCTCTATAATGTTGGTGCATAAAGTATTTTATTGATAAAATGACATTATATGAAAGAATTTATTCACTACAGTTATATAATTTCTGATGTTATTATTTTTTTCCTCACTGATGTAAAAAAGTATTCAAGTTGTGAAGAAATTTTCTCGATCTTTTGGCTTTCTTATAATAATTGCTTGTGTTCTGTGGTGTTTTTAATTTATGTATCTCTGAAATAATTCATTTTAGAATTATACTTTATAGATGCGTATGATCCAGGATTTGGAGATCAAACTAAAACTCTTAGAAGTGACTCATAAGCCCAAGAATAGACCCAATCTTTAATGAATACCTCCGTTAAGTAATTATCTTCACAGTGTCGGACGGGTGTTTCTCTATGTATCCTGTTTAAAAATAAATTTTAAGATAGACCAGCCAATAAAACCTTCAAAGATTTTAGTTGTAAAGATGGTCTCCCAACAATGTTGAAGTATTTAAGTAGAATTTAAATAATTATATTATAAATTTAATTAAAATTTATATTAAATAATAACAAACAAAAAGTAAATAATTTTTGTTTTAATTTTATTAAATTAACTTATTAATAAAACCCTGTTAATTTATTTGGTCTCTCCATGGTCTGAAATCACAAAAAAAAAAAAAATCATTGTTGATTTAAGTGTTTTTTATAAATTGAATCAACTAATTTACTAATAAATCTTTAAGTATAGATATCAATCATACCAAGAAGATTTTTTTGTTAGGCAATGAAAAGATGTATTTTATTTTTTTATTAATAATATTATATTTTTAAAATTCCAATTCCTTACACTTTTGAATTTTTCCAAAAGATTTAATCTTGATATTAATGAACAGACGTATACCTTGTTGACTTCTGTGCTAGCAGAAAAAACAAAGTTTATTAGATACGAGAATATTTTTTCATCCGGTATAAGAGGACATCAAAAACAAACAAGCTGTAAATTAAGAATTTAAAATGATTTTGAATATTATATTTAATTTACTTAATCGATAAAATCTCAAAGAACACCATCTCAGATTTTATAGATTTAAATATTTCATTACATATATACAAAAAGTACTTTTTATTCACTTCGTGAGGGTGGTGGAAGGGATAGGAGGGGAGGGATAGTTCAGTGAGTAAAGCACTGTGCATCTATATTGCAGAGCCTGGATTTGATTCCAACTGTGTATGGTAATTATTTATTCTGTTTCATTAGCTGTTGATCAACCAAGGGTTTAGGAAATTTTCCTGAGGCAAACCCATCTTCTATTAAGTGGGTACTCTATACCTAGAAGAAAAAAATTGAACGTGATTTCGGTCTAATAATCTCCTCACATAACCATTGAACAAGAAAGAGCACTTTCATAGAAAGTACTGAAACCCCATATCCTTCATGGGTTGTGGTGTGTGGTACTGGTGTGGCAGTTATGGAAATTCCAAGTTGACTTTTACCAAATCTTTCCGTCTTTTATTGTCTCATAAAGAAGGGCTAGTAAATTAAAATTACTTGTAAACTAATTAATTCGGAATAGCAGTAGGATGTCTAGAATGAAAACAAACATAATGATAGGGTATCTACCATTGAGAGTTGAATGTCATACACCCGGTTGATTCTAAAAATAGTTAAGACTTAACCGGAAAAACAGCGCTGTAACAAGATGGTCATGTAAATTTTTTTCTCCCTTGAATTTATATGAGGTTTGTTTGACCTATCAGGTTATCCAACACAAAAAGGAGAAGTTTTCTGCCAGGTATTACGCACTCTGCTGCGTACTGGTAGAGATTAAAGTTCTGACCGACGAAAAGGAAAATTAAAAAAAAATTATTGGAAACACTAGTTAAGATAGGCGGTAAAAGGTTTGGTGATCCTTCCAATATATAATTCAATGCAAATTCTGATATGTTATATCATATTATGTTTATAATATTAAACTAAACTCATTAGATTTACCTCCCAACTAGAAATATTACGATACATATACATTATTCTGGTTATCAATATTTTTTTTAACAAATCAAATAATAATTAGTGTTTTAGTGATATAAAACCTTTTTTTTTATATTTACTTATAGGCATGATAGCATGGTTTAGTCGGATTTGTTTTTTGATGATTCTTGATTTCGAAAATTTTAAGATGATTGCTAAATAAAATTGTTTTTTTATCTTTCATGCTGAATCGAACTGATGTTATTGGCTTGTGAAATGCTCTAGATGTATAAATCAGTAGCTCTAAAGAGAAGCAGTAGCCCATATGAGGTATTTTAATTATTTGGTTTTTATGTATAATAATTGGACGTTATTCAAAGTTAGTGTTCTGTTGTTGCGATTACTCATTATACTGAAAGTATTTTTTGTTGTTTAAATAGTATTTTATTTATGCATTTCATAATTATGTTGAGCATGAAAAATTATGCATGCTTTATGTCGATGCATGGCTGACGAGGGCACTTCACTGTTTTCTTTTTTTTTAATATTACATTTTTTTATTTTTAATCTTCTGAAGGTAGAATGGCAGTTAACTGTGTTCGCTCATTATAAAATCTCTATTTCAAAGGATCTAAAACTTTTCAAACTCAAACCTTCGCGGACCTGGGCAGTATTTCAAAAGAAATATTTGAAAATACATTTTTATTATATTGCATTTTAAGAAGTAATTGATATTTTTCTTTCTTAGATACAGTGGCTCACAGTCAAATTGATACACTCTGTAGAAAAAGAAAAAAAAAATACTTAAATGGTCACAGTAAACAAATAAAACCAGAAACTCTTATTTTGATTTATTTATAATCACAATTTAAATATGTACAAACTCAATAAAATTAAAATACTCAACTATGATTATTTCAAAAAATTAAAAAAATAACTGGATAATTTAACCTCACAGCCATAAAAATCAAGCAATAATAAATTGTGAAGCAATAATAAATTATTGTTTTCAATGTAATATAAATTAAACTATTTATTTATTCAGTAAATTCTATCAGTATCTTGATGTATCATTTTGATTGAGAGCCACTGTATCTTGAAGAGTAGTTAGTTGGGATGTTCAGTGAAAAAAAAAGAACAAAGTAAAAATAAATAAATAATTTGTTTTATTAACTTTGTGCCGACAATTCGCCTTTCATCAGGGCTGAGAAAAGAAAAGATGAAGTATTAATTTTGAGAAACTAGTAGATGTTTAATTTTTCTTGCATTTACAGTTAGTTCTTGCTGAACATCAATGAATGTAAAAAAACATTAATCTTGAAGAACCTAAACAATATTTTTTATTTCATTATATCTTTAAAAAATTAATAATCTAAAAAAAGTTAGTTAGGCATTGCTCGAGAGATTAACTGCAGGGAATAACAATTGAAACTGTGTATAATGCTGGTTAATAGTGTCTATTTGAATGTAAACGAGTAAAAACTCCCCAAGAGACAGAAAATTGATGTTAGGTTATAATTGGAAAATTCCAACCACATGACATTGTATCTCTAAAATGAAGGTAAACAATAAAATAAGCCATTAATGGTTAATAACAAGATCACATACTCAGCTTGCCATTGGACGTCATGCAATGAAGTGATCTTGGATTTCTTTTCTTTCCTTTCCTGTTGATGTCTGAATTGACAAAACGTTGATGGGTTGTTTTATTCCTTATCTGCATTTTAGAGAAAAAAGGCAATGTGTTTGGAATTTTTCAATTATAAACTAACGTCAGTATGAATTTTTATAGTTTTATAAAACCGTAAAAAAAATTTAATTTTCAAATAAAGGTTAACGGCTTTATCAATTTTTTATTCCTTCTTCATTCAAGATTGAAACAAGAAATTAATTCCTATTTCTGAATGTCATTCTTTATAGCATTATTATTATAAACCAATTTTTTTTTAAATTAGTTTTCAGTATTATATTTAATTCTCAGATAGATTATTATGTCAACAGTGAAACTATAATTTATTATTTGTTGTTGTTTTGGGTTTAGGGACAAAAAACTATTTATAGTTCTCATTACCCATTTATTATTTATGATTTAAGAAATCTTAAAGACATGCTCAGAATAGTTTAAAAATTTGTCCTCTTTAAACATTATGTAGTAATGCTAAACATAAAAATTATGAAGTAATTCAGTGAAGAGACATTTTAAGGAGTGGAATGTTAAATTTTTTATTATATGGAAATTTTTTAAAAATAGTCGTACCCAAAATAAATCTAATATTGTAAATTTGTATAATATCTGGAGAAAACCCATTGTAAAGTAGTTGTTTTGCTAAAGTTTTTGACGTATTTTTTTTAAGATTCTATAAATTTTGTGTTTCTTAAGTAACTATTATGAAAGTAATTGCTATTTATTTACGATTCTCTTATAATATGTGTTAAAAGAATTGTGGTTAAGACATATCTACATCTTCATTTGTATTTGAAATTAAATTTAATTACGAGAGCAGACCTCTCCAGTCGATAGACTACATGACCTTCCTGTTATAAATTTTTTTTATCAGATTCTAAACAGCAGTTCTATGAATTTTTTTTCATAATTTAAATTATTCAAATTTTATTTGTTATATTTGTATTTGTCTATATGAATCATCAAATATGTATGAAAGTTCACTTAAGTTATTTTAAGTTTAATTACAAAAATTATTAGCTTAGATACTTCTTAGATCGAGATCTATTTTAAACGTAGTTTTGTTTTATTTGTTCACAACTCTTTTAAATTATGAAATAATTCAGTAGGGACACATATGAAGGAATGGAATGTTAAATTTTTTATTATACGGAGATAAGTTTTATGTTTTTACAATCTATTGATAAATATCAAGTATCACAAGTGTTCTGTTATGATGCAGTTCTATTGTTTTCGATAAAGGTTTGTTGTAATCTGAAAAATTCTGTATTTATTAAAATTTAGAGAGAAAGCTTTCTGAAACAAAAGAACAAACTATCATATAATTTCCCTTAGCCCGATGGTAAGAAAATTATTATTACTGGCTCAAATTAATTGGTAGTTTTCAATTAATTTTTGTGTTTTAGAGTTTCATGAGTTTAAAAATGCAATTTTGTTCATTGATTTGTCTATCTATATCTTTATTATCTCTTAAATAGGTAGATTCTTTTTACTTTCCTACTGCTCCGAGGTAAGAAAAGTATTGCAATCTAGTCAAATTTCCGACGTGCAGTTTTCATCGGATCTTTACGTACAGAGTTCGAAAAACACATTTTCAGCCATTGATTAGGGTCTGTCTATACCAAGATTATTTCTGGAACAAGTAGACCTTTCTGACTTCTTTTTTTTTGTTTTGTAAGGTTTGGCTACCGATGCCTGTGAAACAAATTGGTGCTTCCCAAGAAAAAACATGTTTGCAAACAAGAAAAAAACTAATGCAAAAGTAGCTCTAATGATTTTGTTGAAACTTTCCTATAATTTTCTATTTAAAGGCCTTTCAATTTTTGTAGTGATCGAAAATTCAGGAAAAAAATATATAAAGAAGAGAAAAATGTTTTTGGTTCTAACTCATAAAGTATACATTCTATGGTAAAATTTATATTGATCTTTTGAATTGTATTTAAATTACCTACAAAACAAAATAAATAAATCTTCAGAATTGAACTGTTATAATCAAAGATACAACATATTAAATTTTATTTTTTTACTTTCCTACCGCTAATAGAGAAGAAAAGTATTGTCAAATTTCTGATGTGCGGTTTTCTAAGGATCTTTATGTTTTAGAGTCCCCTGAAGAACACAATGCTCTCTCCATTTTATGATTGGTTATCAAATTTCCTACGAAAATGTAAAAAAAAAAAAAAAAAAAAAAAAAAAAAACATTTAAATCGAATTAGTTTTAGTAGAGTTACAGTGTATTGAATTTTATCAGCTGATTTTAATGATGGTTCACATCCTCTTTTCCATTTCTTTAGTTCATAAAAGAAATCAACTCTCGATCGATGTTTAATATTTGAATTTGTTGCAGTTTCGATTTAAGACTACTAGACTTAAGTATATATTTTAATACATATTAATAGAATTTATATTATCTCAGCAATATTAATTAAGTGATTTGATTATCATTGTGACATGGATAGGCATGGATGATTTAAAACCCCTGTTGAAATTGGTAGCTAATGAAATCTGTGATAGGTTTAAAATTTATAACAATGTTGTTACTATTTATTCAAATATTATGTTATTTTTAACAATCATATTGGCAGTGGCTTAAGCTATTTTATACAAATTCCTATATTTTGAAGAATTTGTATCAGAAGTCAGTCAACCGTTCTTTATCTTGGGTGATAAATATTTAGGACCCAGTCATTTTTTAATGTTTTTATCAGTGCCGACGTTTCAACCTAAACATATGGGTCATCATCAGGGCATGTTTCGAGCACTGAAGGTATTCAAGTACTCCGGTACTTCGGTCGGCACTAATAAAAACGTCAGACTGCGTCCTGAATATTTATCACCCATGATAATGGTTATTGTTTATTTATTTTAATTTTATGATTCATCAATGAATTTATTCGATGAAGTTACTGCCATTCAAACATTCCAAAGTTAAATTATTGATGATGAATTTTTTGATGAAAGTAGAAAATAATTTTTCCAATAGAAACTCCTTTGTTGCTTTTTAACTACTAACAGGGTAAAACTGTTGAATATGGGTTTGCGATCTACTATACATTGTTGGATGGGTGTTTAGCAATAGATTAATGATATACCATAAATAAAATAAAATAAAAAATAAATCTTTAACCACTAAAACCCATGAAAAGTCTTGGATTCAGTAAATATTTAGGGAAAGTACTGTTTCTAGGCTTACGGTTGTGCAGGGAGGGGATTGGGCAAGGTTTTTCTCACTCAACTGCCAGGTTTTCTCCCTTAATCAATTATTTTATTAAGAGTACCCACTTTGAACAGGCTGCGTGTGCCCCAGGCGGGTCTCCCTAACACAGGTTCACCCCACAGCCAATGAAACAGAATAAATAATTTTTCTGCCATGAGCAGAGATTCGAACCTGTGACCTTTAGCATTGGAAGCTGAGTGCCCTACCACTGAGCTACCCCACTCCCTTGATGTATAATAAAACCTCTCTAAAATGGTCAGCCATTGGTCTTAGAAATTTATTCATTACTAAAGGGCGTTTTCTATGAAGGGAAGAGGTATACAAAGCTTATTACAAAAAACAGAATATGTACCTGTTCTGGTACTGGTACAGGTGGGAGAACTAGTCCGGCAAGCCGTGTGGTGTTTTTTGCAACCCTTGATGGCTACC